GGGGAGCCTAGTCAGTAGTTTTGGGAGCCCGGGTGTTCGGGCACCTCGGTACAAAGCCACCTCGGCATAGAGTCACCTTGGTACAGAGTCATCTCGGCACCTAAGCCAGTTCGAGGCCCAGGAACCGAAGTGACACGTAATCGACTCTAGAAGCTTCTCAACGGACTCCGAACATCCCGGGATCACGCTGCATAATGGCAGGTCTTATCCTCTTCCCTGCCCAGATCGGGCAGTAACGATAGACTTCATTGATTGGTACGTTACTCCCCGTCTAAAGCAGAAACGGATCTCATCTACTCAAGCCGAGGATGTCAGAATCGTTTCGTGAGACCTACAGCACCTCGACTATATAAGGGCATCAACCCCTCCAGGGCTTAGGTACATGCAATTATTCACACACAAGCTCTCTAGCATTCAAAGTCTCAATTCGCAACCACAACAAAGATACTAACTTAAGCATCGGAGCGACCTCACTAGGTCATCCACCCCGGTCTCTTTGATCTCTGTTTTGCAGCTAGGTCCAACTCGCTACGCGAACAACATCCAGGCATCCTTCCAGCTAGGAGCTTTCAGATCGCGCATCATCAGCATATAAGAGCAACTTCTGGGGTTTAATATCAATAAAAGTAATATTTTTAAAAAATTTCAAAAATAGGTTAACTTTTTAAAATTAATATCAATAAAGGGAAAACACTGTTCATCATCTTCTTCTTGCCATTTGTTCACTAGCACCGCCGCTCGCCACCGCCGTCCGCCGCTGCCCGCCGCCACCTCCACCCATCTTCACCTCTGCTTCCGACAACATTGTCGGAGGTGGCGGTTGCGGTGACGCTAGTGGTCATTCCTCCGCCCAACGCCGCCGCCACCTCCGACAACATTGTCGGAGGCAGAGGCGGAGGTGGGTGGAGGTGGCGATGGCGGCGCTGGTGGTCATTTCTCTGCTCAATGCCACCTCCTCCGCCCACCTCCACCTCTGCCTCTGGCAACGTTGCTGGAGGTGGATGGAGACAAAGGTGGCGGCAGCGGCACTGGACAGAGGAATGACCACCAATGTTGTCGCCGCCACCTCTGCTTTCGTTGTCGGAAAAGGTGGCAGAGATGGACGGCGGCGCTGATGAACAAATGCGAGAAGAATATGATGAACATTATTTTTGCCATTTATTTATATTATTTTTAAAAAATTAACCTATTTTTGAATTTTTTTTAAATATTACTTTTATTGATATTAAACCCCAAAAGTTGCCCTTATATGCTATTACCCCTTGATTAATTGCCTAATTTTTATATTGGTTAATCAAAAATGAACGAATACCATCGATTTTTTTAAAATATCAAATCGACCGATTCCGTTAACCAAATTTTTATTTGTTTTCAGTCGGTTTTTCGGGTTTTATTTGAACATGGGTCAACCAGCGTGATGTATATTGTTTTGTGCATCTTAGACTCACAACCACGGAAGCGTGACACATGTCGACTTGCAGAAGGTGCACGTCACTATTCCAGAATGGCAAGATTTGCATGAAAAAACAAGTGCGATGGAGGGAGACTGTTAGGCGGTTTCAGGTTCAGGTACGGCCAACTGATCCTCTTACAATTATTTCCGTCAAAGAAAAGATGCGTCATAATTCATAAATTTGCTCTTGGTCTTGGAGGAGTTCGGCTTCAGTCCAGCAACAGACATATGAATCATCCGAAGCGCTAGAAGAAAACTAGTAGAAAGTTGTAAACTTTAACCCAGATTTTGATCGCCCATCACACAAACAAAAATCCAGATTAAATGATGCCCTCCATCCTCCAGGAACCAAAGGAAAACAGAAAAAATACACACAACCACCACAGGATTAACATGCTGGGGGGTAACCTCAGCCGATGGGGTACAACCTCTGCTTGATAGCTCCATATACCAAACCAAAACTAAAGAATCTAAACCAAAGCGATTTTCATGGTTTCTCTGTAAATAGTCTTTATAACTAGTCTTCCGCAGCGTTGCAGCTGGCAACTCATTCCTCACTCTTCACTCAGACGGCAGTAGACGAAGACAGATGGCGGTTCTTGTGGATACCCAGGATCTATTACTCCGCCATGTCCGTTCTTGTGGACGTCACTTGTCGTCCTAACATTACCATCAACCGCACTCTCCTCAACTTCTTTGATATCAAGATTTCTCCCAACAAAAAATATGGTCTGACGAGCGTTGATATAACAGTCGATCCCGCCCGAGACCTTTGGTTCTGCCTCTGCACTCCGACGGAACCCGCGGCCGACGTTAAACTGCCGACCATACTCTTCTTTCACGGTGGAGGATTTGCAAGACTCCGCCCTGATTCATTCCTATACGATTCCGTCTGCCACCGGTTCGCACGGGAGATCCCCGCCGTGGTTGTCTACATCAACTACCGCCTAACTCCGAAAAACCGCTTTCCGTCACAGTACGATGACGGGTTCGACGTGCTTTAAGTTCCTCGAAGGCAGAGATATCTCGTCTGCCAGGAGAGGAGAGGAGAGGAGAGGAGCAAAACGCTCGTTTTGCTTAACTTAAACTAACAGCGAGTCTCACTAACGGGGTGAAGCATACTGGCATGCTTCAGCCCTTCACACGATTCGGAGGACGCGTGGACTAAAGGTGCCTCCGAATGCGCGAACGGTGCCTGGACTGAAGCGTTACATGAAAGCCGGGGAGCCACTAACGGCCAAATAGTCGGCTACTCCGTTCGGTGGTAAGTTGGAGAGGCGTCGCTGTCCTGTCCACACTTCACGGTTGGTGATGACGACGTGGAGGCTACTGTCCCTTCTTTACACTCCAGTCAATTTTACCCTTAAAACCTCTCCTATTTCTGATATTTACAGTCCTGGATCCCTCCTTTGTTCTCAGATAATTAACCTAAAGCCTCTACTCTCTTACTATTCTCCCCCCCCAACTCCCAAGTTCTAATTATTATCATTCAGCTAAAGTTTCTTCAGTACGTTGGAGTTGATTGTGAGAAATCTAATCTAATCATTTTCAGCATGGTATTGTGAGAAAGGAGAGACCGCACCATGTCTCTCCTTTCCTAACCCTTTTAAGACAAAATGAGAATTAGCCCCCGAGAATGTATTGATGATATTTCCGATTATTGAAATCAAAATCATTGTGGGGACTAGTTTCAAGAGAACAAACAAAAAGAAAAATGTGAAAGACAGGTCTAATGCAGATTTATAAACATTTAAAATGTCAAAACTCCTATTTTATGTACTAATACCCGCCCTTGAATTGACATCAATTTCGAACCGGCACCTATCCTAACTGTACTTTTTGAGCCTAAAAATTCTAATCCTGGGCTGAACTGTCATTCTTCCAAAATGTTTGTATCGGCGAATACCACCTACCTGTTCAATTAGTATTATGCATTGAGAGGAGTTGCAATCACCAGTAAAAATATATATACAGGTAAGGTTTATATACACTGACTAGTCACTACTTTTAACCGAAAAGCTAATGGCACATGTTACATCTCAACGTGTGGCCGGATGAGCATGACTAACAATGTATTGTGATCAAGATCCGAACTCCCTTGCATGATCAAAGGCTTTTTTTTTATTAACCCTCATTCAACCAATTTTGAGCCATCCATGCATAGATCAGACCTCGTCTCATGGCGAGGGCGGCAATCAAAGAAAGTTACAAATAAGGGGATGGTCTGATAATGGGGTCACTTAAAGCATTCACCTTGTTAACCCTATATTATATTTCTACTTCTCTGCAGAGGTAAATCAAAGAAATAGACAACAGAGAGGCTAAAAGATAACGATAAGAAGATAAACTTTGACAGTTATCCCATGTGCGTAGTCTTCGCTATCATTTAATTGATCGGATAACCTATTGGTTGTTGTACTTTATTATTTGAATTTCAAAATGTAATTCTACATATTTTATCCCTTTGCCCAAGAAAAATCACAAACACCTGGTGATGGAACTGAAATGCAGGTTTGGTACTCCCCACGCTTAACAGAGAAAGACACCAGCTAGCTGACTACTTGGAAAACCGAGGTCTTAAAGCTTATAATTTTCAATATATTCATCTCTATAATGCCTGTGGCCGCGCTACCACCTCATTTTGTCTATCCCTCCTCTCTGTTAACCAAAGGAGCCAGCTTCTCTACATCCACCCCTCCCCTGCACCTAATCCATTCACAAAAAAGAACAATTAATTAATATTTCTTTAGCTATAAGAATCTGTTCTGTAAGTGCATCGCATGTAGTGTGCCGATTTATGAACTGCTTTTAAGACCCAACAAACAAGCTAGGATTAATTTAACTGATAGTCATAGTCTAACTCCCCATACAGCCATACTGAATAATCGAGTACTAAACATCATATGCTCTTTTGGTGCAATTTTATCCCATATATCTTCTCCTCCTCAGAAGTGAAAACTATGCTTTCAACGTTTTTCAACAAACATCTTCTACACAAGAAGAACTGAAGTGGTAGTAAGCTTTGACCATGGTTGCTGAGGCTCAGTTTGGAAGGAGTACAAATACAACTATCTATCTATCTATACACAAACAAAGTGATTATCCAGTTAAGCTAGCTAGCAACAACTCAAGAACTGTGTGCTAAAATAAACTAAAAAAATAATAAAGAACTACCTAACTAGAAAACCAGATGTATGAAATTACAACATCAATTACTACGTGTACAGTAAGTAATCTGGAACAGAGAAAATTCTACTAATCAAGATGACAACAGAACAGGAGATAAGAAAGCTACCTCCCTGGAGCCAACTAAGAAACCTTTCATCAATTCCTATTCTCTAACCCCGTCTTCGACAATTCATCACAGTGACACCCCCAAAACAGTGGCCTTTAATGCCTTAACCTTTGTGCTTTGAACTCAATATCTCACCAAAGGCAAATCTCATAAGCTCTTAATTAATTTTCTACTACCTTACCCATGGTCAGTGTTACCGCAGCCGATAACTAGTTTATGTATGACCAGCGTTTGTGTGTTTCAATTTTCATAGAAAGATTAATATGAAATTATATTAAAGCTAAGTACTCGGTTGGAAACACACCAGGAGAGCGACAGATGTTCATATATGCAAGCGAGAAAGAAAAACAAAATATCCAAAAGATGTAAAGAAAAAAAAAATCAAAACATCAAATACAAACGATAAATCCAGAAATCTGACAATTATTACACATAAGAAGGTTCATGGTGATCGCTGTAACTCTCTGAGTAATATGATGGCAACAAGATCCTTTGCCTCTTGCTTGAACGGCCATTCATCGACACCATCGATGTAGAAGCAATTCTATTCAAAACCACCTTAAGAGACTGTTTGAGGGAGCTTAAGCACACACCCTCTTGACAATCTTTGGTGCAAAGGACCATAACATTTATAATCCTTCCACCCATAGTAGCCATTTCTGCTCTTACTGTTGTTAACCTCAACCCTTTGAGGGCTTGAATGAGATCCGTGAAAAGTTCTGGGCGGTCATCGCAACTAAGAGAAGCCTTGATGAAAAAACCATTTTTGCTGTTGTTGTTGTCGTCGTCGTTGGTGGCGGTGGTGGTGGTGGCAGTGGTAGTGGGTTCTACACTTCGATCGCAATCGACAATGACTTCATCAACGTCTTTGGGAATTGTGAAAACTTGGCTGATCTCAACTGCTTTTCTCTTTAGATCCTTCACATGATCAATTACACTGGCTAATAGAGCAGCTTTATCCATCTGCACTAAAAAGAAGCATCGATGTATCATGTGTATATCAGTTTGCAGAGGTTGCATGCTTTTACAGAAGGTAAGCACTAAGGCTGATACGCCTGTCGACCTTCTAATACGGGCATGTGCGCGTGCGGCTTTGTCGGAGGTTGGAGCATCTCAACCATCAATCATCAGAAATTTTTATCCAATAGTCATATCCAGTCGGGTATAATTTATAAGCGAGTTAAAGATGCTATTTGATCGAACCGAGTTAACCCCATTAACTCATTCAAAAGCTAAATGCTAAATGAACAACTTTCTATATATCCTGACTTTATTGGGTGACTTTAATAGTAAGCTTTTATTTTCCAGACCCAATCCGAGTAAGTTAACTCAGAACCTTATTTCATTCATGGAATAGGAACCCCAGGACGATCACCTATACTTCTTAACAAATTGACACAAAGTGGTCCTGAGTTCACTTGTTCAGCTATGAACGACTGAGTCACCAAAATTTGAATCTTGGAGAGAAAAAGAATTGCTGTTTACCTTATCAGACCGTGGAATAAGTTTCCTGAGAGTGGTAAGGTGTGAGTTGATCCTCTCTCGACGGCGTTTCTCTGCTTGGCTGTGGCTCTTAGAAGCAGCGGTAGCTCTATCTTGTGCAATCTCCTCCATGAACAAAGACGACGGAGGAAGCCCATGAACCGGGAAAGAAGCAGAGTCGTGAGGAGGCATGAGAGGCGACGGAGGCGGCCATCGAAGGAGAAAGGGTCCAACATTAAGTGCATGGTATTGAAGCAAACATGCCTCTTCAGGCAAGGCAGGAAGATAGCACCTCTCCATGAACACAGCTACACTTGAAACCCTAAAATCAAACTTAAAATGTCCCTACTTTGCTAAAGCATCCGATGCTACAAGTCACATAGCAGTACTAGGGAGCACTGGAGCAGGGAGTCCCCCAATCCCAGTACAGATGCAAAATTATGGTGGTTTAATTTTTCATTTATTGATGGTATGAGTGTGATTGTTGACTGATGGCTAGTGAAGTTTTATTGGTCAAATGAAAATTTGAACTTGGCCTTATCCACCCGTCACCTCAACTGCTTTCTGCTGCCACCCTTTTTCTGTCAAAGATGAACCTAAATCACTTGGATAATTTACCAAACCCACCCCATATGGCCAGAATTTAGAGAGAGAAGGTGCTCTCTCTCTCTCTCCCCCCCCCCTCCTAGAGGTGACGAGGAAGGATGCTGCTTTTCCTTCCTTGCAATATCTGATCGAAGCAGAGAATCAATTGATATGGATGGTTGGAAAATGGGATCATCCAATCGTGTATGACTGATCACCTATAAAAATTTCTTGGCGAGTAGGCCTTCCAATCTCCTTCAGCATCTACCACTTGAGGACCGCAGGTTTAAGAAAAGCAACCTAAAGATAACGTGTAAGGCAAAACACAAATACCACTGACAGAGTCTGTTTCTGAACAGCAGGGTTCCATTTTTAACGGTGCCATAGCTAAGGGCCTAAGGCATCGCTGCACCCAAATAGTTAGAGATTACAGTAGCTACAACCCTCTGCAACAAACGCAGCTGCTAAGCTACTTCCCAGACCCCGAAAAGGCCGAAACCACAGCCTATAGGAATAAAAATTCTAAATCCCATGGATCGCAAGATGGGATGATGAAGACCTCGTCCTTTTTAACTTTATGTACTCAACATTCAATAATTCGCTTCCCCATAAAAGATCAATAATTCATTTATATTTTATCTAAACGGGTCTAATCAACCAATTCTTCTACAAATTTGGTTTGGTGGTTTGGGTTTGTTGTCCACATTCATTTACTCTCTGTGGCTAGACAGAGACTCCAACACAACAAACAAAGAGGGGTCTCGATAAATCAGCAATTAACCACCAATGTAGGTCCCAAGTCCTCATCATTATAATTCAACATGCAGAGAGGACTTGAACAATTGATGCGACCTTTGATCAACCACTTAGTTTGGATATTTATCTCTTTGTATTTTGTGATCGTGTATGTTCTGATACAAGTGTGTTCCTCAGTTCCTCTTTCCTTCCCCTTGCTTCATGGCGATCTTTCGATCTACCATTTTTTGGGCCCCACCCAAATCAGCCTTAAAAGATGTGAAACCACTACCATCAGACATCAGTGGCATCCAATGTAACATCGCGTTTTAGTCCTTTCATCTTACCATCACTCACTCAATTGGCCATTATGGCTACATGACAAGCTTAAATTTAAGCAAGAGCTGTCCTTTCAATCATAAACGCTGTTTAATTGGCGTTTGTGAGGAAAGCAGATTGTGGCCGGGGTTGTTACAACAAATCAAAACCTAGAATAACTAATATTTAATTTCATGTGATTATATATATCTGTAGTGTAGTGAGCGATGAAAAATCAATTTGAACCAGAAACGCTCCTCAGTCGAAAATCCTAAATCAATTACAGGCCATTCTTTTTCACTGTTCAATCGCAATGGTAAACCTTACAGGCTCCTAAAGCCATGGGAGGCTCATTTGACTTGTTAGGTAACGAGGCAGTAGAGACGCGACAAGCATGGAATAGTGTGCAGTAAGGAATTCATCCTAGATCAAAATCGTATAAAAAAAAAGAGCCAAGCATGCAAAACACAAGGGTTTTATTAAAAATATCAAATTAATTCTGGAGATAATATTCTCCTTTTACAAAGCAATAAAAAATAGAAACCTCAAACATAGGATACAGACGTATCTACAGAACCTTCTTTAATGGGTTAATTGCCTCGAGGTCTTTTTCTGCATATTATAATCCCTCAGTACAAATTCGACAGTCCATGTTGTAGACACCCCAAGCCACACATGTGATTATCCTATCTCTGTGATTATCCTATCTCTAAAGGGAATAAAAAAAATATACGAAGTGCTCACTTATAGATCAATAGGAAGGCTTCATCTCCAATTTTCAGGTAAACAGGACGACCTAGCCTTCGTGCAGTTGTCCAAATTTCAAAAAGCTCAGAAGTCCGAATACATTCATTAATTTTTTTTTCCTAACATTGAGTCTACGACACCAGAGTCAGCAGTATATAATCTTATAAACTACCCAACCACTTCATTTGAAATTTTAGATCAGATTTTAAGTTATCTACAGGACATGATATCAGAACTAATATAATGTTCTCAAGCACCAGGATACGAGCAAGGTTCGACACATATCAACTTGTATTGGCCAATACGTATGATTCCAGGACCCCTCCGGTATGCCCCTACAGTGGGTGTATTAGGGGTCTGCCCGGTTCTGGGGGTGGAGGAGCCCTAAACTGGCCCCCCTGAACCAGTTGCAAAAAATAAAAAATAAAAAAAGGCACAAAATGCAGTACTGATTAGCCCGATAAGCCCCTACCGACGTATTGGACATATCGATATTTTGAACCTTAGATACAAGTTAAAATAATTCAATCATAAAACTGCACTCTGTATTTGTGGTCACTTAACCTCCGACTGTTGCAAAAATTAGCATTGCAGCCATTTCTGCAGAAATTCCAGCTCAAAGGCTCAAACCTTCATTTGTGAACCAAACAAAGGGATCCATTCCGTAGATATTACTTGAATAAATGCTATTGAATTTGTTTGCATCTGAACCCTTTACGGACATGTAAAAACAATAGACTGTAACACATTAGCTACATCAAAAGGAACTATTCCTTTAGGTGCTTTTCAGTATTTCTATTTCCATATACTAAAAGAACTTACTTTCCATATAGAAGATCCCAATATAGACAAACGATGTATTTGTCTTTACTTTTCTTTTCTTACAAGTATTCAAAGGGGTGATCCATTAAAAAATGTATTCAAAGGAGTGCTATAAGGAATTGCGGATACAAAACTCGATGGCAAGCATATTGACAAAATGTATATTCAGGCCCTATGAGTCAAGAGATGCCAGACAGATTTAAACCTCCTAAGCTGATGAAAACCATTTATTCTGAAAAGCCCAAGTCTGTTTACGGTTCGTGATGCAAACAGCAGTTTGGAATCAGAGAAGTAATCTTTCAGCTGTAATGATTCTGGATGGCAGTGTTTCTTGGGGCTTTGTGTTCGTTTCTTTTGATAAGTCAGGATGGAACTCTGACAGGGTACGCCATGGAATGGGTCTTTCTATACAAGCTAGTTATGGTAAATCAAACCAACTTCCAGAAAGTTCAGTATATTTGAGATACTGAACTTGGAACATGGTTCAGTTATTTAAGTTATCATACATTCTTCTTTTTCTACAGACTAGGCAATCCCAGATGTTAATTTTTCCTCCAAAGTCAAAATCATAGTTTTCTTGTTGTAGCTCTTTGTATCCATACCTAACAGTGCATCTAAATATGCTGTACTCATTTGGGCCCACTCTTTCTATGAGAAACTGTTCCCCTTCATTGATATAGGGAAATCAAACAGATTGCCACACTCAAAACTAGTACATGATGGAAAGTGGGCAGGTTTGTCAGAAAGTGTCCAAAAATAGCTGGTATCCTTGTTGCCAAATAGGTGTAAACAAGTCAATTCCCAGGACTCTAGACCATGCTAAGTATAGGGCCTAAAGCCACTAGCCTCTTCATTGACCCTGTTCTCCTTGTCAGATTTATGTTTCTTCAATGTGTCATACATAATTCTATCTGCAGTAAGTTGTCACAAACAAAAGAGTAATGACTGCGATCACTACAAAACTAGAGAAACAAGCAAAGCTTCAACTAGAGAAAACGAACTAGTGTGAAAAAAAAAATGCATATCCTATTAACACTGCTCAAATTTGTACCATAAGAATGGCCAATAATGTTGATGTCCCTTAATCCGATTATGCCAGAAAAACTGAGGCATAATACAACCCAGTTAACCTCTGTAATGTAAATTTGACATTGTACTACAAGTATGAACTATCTTCATACAGGGAGGTGATCCATTGCACAGAAATGGCTTATCATAAACAATGTAGGTGATATAACAGCTGGACTTCCGATCCAAGCTACAAAAGTAGACACTGTGGAGACTGGTTAGAAAACAGCCTCTCTAAATGAGAAAAAAATAATTAAAAAATAGGATAAATTACTTGTACCTCCCCCGCAATTTCAGTCAAATATTGGCATCCCCTTGAATTCACTTATCAACTTACCCCTATTTGAGGGTTGAGTTGCTTATTCCACTCTTCCACTAACATGTGGTTTAGTCTTAGTGATAGGAAGTGTTCACCTGACAATAAACAATTAAAACTTCCCAAAGATCATTTTATCCTTTTTACACTTTGCATATATTATGTGGACAAAAATGCCTTCATCTATACTTCTTAGAGGGACATTTTTTTTACTATAATGTTAGGTGCCATGGGAATGAAAGTTAAAAACAAGTTTATAAAAAATAAAACAAAAACAAAAATATAAGTAAAGCTGTATTTGCTGTTTACAAATGAAATATTTTTATCAACTTCAAAATACATATTACAAAGACAAAACTAATGTTTTATCATTATCAGTGTTTTAGTAAAATATCTTTTTCTGTTTAGTTCTGTCTCTTCTGTTAGAAACCCCTTGCAATTTGGTGGTAATATTACATAAAGTTATGTCATCCTAAAATTACATAAAATATCTTGACCATGTTGTAATTTTTTAATCTTTATACTTTTAGGTGTAGGGGGTATTTTAGTCATTTTACTTAAAGTTATATGTCACCCTAACATTACATCCAGACAAGTATTCCCAATGCTTTAAAACCTTTAATTCTTTTTCTTTTTTAATTGGAGAAAGAAAAAAAAGGCAGATTGGGGTGGTGATTATTCAAATCATCCAGGGGCCCAAAGGTTTGCCAGTTGCTACCAGTGTATTCTGACATCCTTAACTACAATTTGGATGGGTCCTCGTTCCTAATTTCCTTCCCATCCTGCTTCTTCAAACTTCAAAGCTAAAAAAGAATTCCCCACACTTTAAAACTTTTTTTATTATTTAATTGGAGAGAAAGGAACAGACTGGTTGGAGAGGTGATTATTCAAATCACCCAGGGGCCAAAGGCTTGCAAGTATCCATTAGTGTATTCTGACAAACTTCTCTACAATTTGGAGGAGTTCATAGTCCTATTTCCTTCCTATCATGCTTCTATGAGCTTCAAGGTTAAGAGTGGTGATGGGCTCACTTATCTCTATTTCATAAGGTGATTTTATTCACAACAAACACATTCTAGACGGTGTCCTAATAGCTAATGATCTAATTGATTCTAGAAGTGGTAAGAAATGTAAAATTGACCTAGACAACATATAAGTAAGCTCGGTTCCTTTCTTGGCTGCATCTTTAGATGGATACCTAGAGAGCTTAACTAAGAGCTGATTCTTTAGCTAAAAATGGTTCTGAGATTTGAAGGGCTTGTTTTCTTTTTGTAGTCAAGCTCCATCTTTTAATACATCCTTTCATGCACAGTTTGTTAGTTGAATAAAAAGATACCATTTCTGGTGGATCTTCTTGAGGGGAAGGAGCCAATTGGGTGCAAATGGGTGTTCACTGCAAAACATAGGGCTGATGGCTAAGTAGAATGGTACAAGGAAAGGTTGGTTGCTAGGGGGTTCACACAAGTTTATGGAATAAACTATGCTGAAAGGTTTAATCTTGTTGCTAAAATGAATTCCATACGGATCATTTCTTTGGCCGTCAACTTTGATTGGGATGTTCGCCAACTTGATATAAAAAATGTTTTTCTAAATGGGAACTTGGAGGAGGTGTATATGGTCAAAATGCCAAGTTTTCTTGTTGAAGGCATGGTTCAGTAATAGATGTGCTCTTTGTTGGGAAATTTTCCTGGAAAGAATCAACACTTTAGACTTACTCCAAAGAAAGAGACCCAACTATTGTCTACTTCCTAATAGATGTGCTCTTTGTAAAGCTGATGGGGAATCTGGCTACCACCTCATGGTCTCTTGTAAGGTTGTTAAATCTGTTTGGGAGTGGGTTTTCTCCCGTTTTGGGTGTTCTTGGTATCCTTTGGAGACTGTCCAA